CCTCGGGGGGACACTACAGTCAGTGGCACTGCCCCTGGGGGACACTACAGTCAGTGGCACTGCCCCAGGGGGAATGGCCTAAAGACACTACAGTCAGTGGCACTGCCCCGGGGGGTTCTCCCATCTTGGTTTTGGTATAGGCCTATACATAATATTATAATATATAATACATATACTGGCAATCAAAAAAGGTACCACTTTTTGACAGTGTAAAAAATCTAGTTCTCTGAGTCTGTACATTATTCCTTTCACATTCGAGTTATACGAAGTAGTCTCAAAAGTAGGTCATGTTCTGAAAATAACATTGTGATCTTTCAAGTAGTGTTTCCGGCAAAAACATTGAAACATAGAAAAATGACATTCTTTTCCCAACCACCTGACAGATGTTTTTCAAATCTTTGTTTTTTTTTCACAAAGTTTAGGTCTTTGTTGATAAAAAATGACGCAATAGTAAGACATTTAAGTACAAATTTTGAGCATTTTTTCTCTTTCCACCCTCTCAAAGATCAAACAAAGATGCACCTATTAACATCACCCAAATTCTATTGTCAAGGCTTACTATTTCCTTGCTATTCATGTTTCTTGATAAAAACAACACAGCAAAAATACTCATTTGTTTGTCCCTGACCTAAAAAAAGTACCCAAACGGACTTAAGTGGATTGCTCGCGGCACTGACAATATCTTTGAGATGACCTGATTAATCCCGTGACACTTTGCTCTTCCGAGGCTTGAATCCTTGAGTGCAGGTATAGAGCGTCCTCCAGTTGAGAAATGTCTTTCCTCAGACGCTCACTTTCAACAACAACCAGTTGACTACAAGAAGAAAGAAAACAAAATGTCACTTACTCTTGCTAAGATTTAGTTTGCCATAGTGATAAAATATAATCAAACGATAAAAAACACAATACACAACAACTTGCAGTCAATATGAGCTCACACACAGTTTAGTCGAGCCCTTATAGTCTCGCCTAGGTCTGACTCTGGGCCAACCAGCCTTGCTGGAGAACACAGCTCAGAGGCTACCTTGTCAACACAGCTCAAAGGCTACCTTGTCAACACAGCTCAGAGGCTACCTTGTCAAGAGCCATCAGCTTCTACCAACAAACACGACTCTTGTCTATTTTTCTGACATCATAAGAGACAACAAGGACAAACACGTATTTTCCACAAAAACTGCAGGCAGGTGACACAACAATGAACGGGCATTCCTCACTCACTACAAAAACTGCAGGCAGGTGACATAACAATGAACGGGCATTCCTCACTCACTACAAAAACTGCAGGCAGGTGACACAACAATGAACGGGCATTCCTCACTCACTACAAAAACTGCAGGCAGGTGACATAACAATGAACGGGCATTCCTCACTCACTACAAAAACTGCAGGCAGGTGACACAACAATGAACGGACATTCCTCACTCACTACAAAAACTGAAATGAAATGGACAGCTCAAATGGACAGCTCAAATGGACAGCTCAATGTAGAACTCAGTCAAACATCACTTCTCAAAATAGCCTACGGTGGAGTCTTACAGTAACTTGCACTGAGCAGTCAAACTATCTCACATCTAAACAAAAGTAGAATCCTCATCCACACTTTCCCTTTCTTCCACAGCTATAGCAGTATCGTTACTTTCCTTTCTTCCAAAGCTATAGCAGTATCATTACTTTCCTTTCTTCCAAAGCTATAGCAGTATCGTTACTTTCCTTTCTTCCAAAGCTATAGCAGTATCGTTACTTTCCTTTCTTCCAAAGCTATAGCAGTATCATTACTTTCCTTTCTTCCAAAGCTATAGCAGTATCGTTACTTTCCTTTCTTCCAAAGCTATAGCAGTATCGTTACTTTCCTTTCTTCCAAAGCTATAGCAGTATCGTTACTTTCCTTTCTTCCAAAGCTATAGCAGTATCGTTACTTTCCTTTCTTCCACAGCTATAGCAGTATCGTTACTTTCCTTTCTTCCAAAGCCATAGCAGTATCGTTACTTTCCTTTCTTCCAATGCTATAGCAGTATCGTTACTTTCCTTTCTTTCAATGCTATAGCAGTATCGTTACTTTCCTTTCTTCCACAGCTATAGCAGTATCGTTACTTTCCTTTCTTCCAATGCTATAGCAGTATCTTTACTTTACAGTTGCCAAAGTAGGCCAGCTGTGAAAACATTGCAAAGCACAGTCAACTAGGCCTGGGCAGGACTAGGACTTGGATTTGAGACTTGAAATTCTCGTACCCACCAAGTAGTGTTTGAGACCAAGTATTTAGATCTGAGCAAGTCCAAGTCTTGACTTAGCAAAATATCCCTCAATCAAAAGACAAAATTATTTAAACGCAGAGTGCAAACTTTGAGTATAGATCTAGATCTAGACTCAGTGAACCAACGTCTAAAGAAATTATGCTCAAAACTGGTATGTTTCTAATAAATTTAGTGTTTTCAGTTGGTTGTTTTAATTCAAATACATCTACCACCCCTACTACTTGCAAGGACTTGCTCGTCCTAGGCGGATTGGTCGAGTCCATTTCCTCGATAAGGGGTAGGCAGTACCACCCGTATTACTAGCTAGGATTTGATGGCCCTTAGTGGATTGGTTGAGTCCACTTCCTCGATAAGGGGTAGGCGGGCCTAGGCCCGGATAAGGCTTCAATGCCATCATTGCCATCCAAGGCTGAAGCAATTCCTGAATTTATTAATACATCAGAGAACAGAACAAAAAACAAACAAGCGAAGAAAAATAAATTTTAAAAAAAAATTAAAAATCCACCAAACAAGTATCACAAAGATGTTCCATACGTCTCAACATAGGTGGTTGGTTGGAGAACAACAAAAATAATAACGATAAAGGGAAGTAATGCTGATGGCTTTACTATCAAAGAGACTATTTATCATACTTTATTACGTCCCCTGGACTTGAAACTGGGCTTGAGACTTGCGGGTCTCAAAGTGTTAGGACTTGAGACTTGAAAGTTCTATTTTTTTCAATTCTGCCCGAGCCTACAGTCAACACATGACTCGTTCAGTCTTCACTGCCTCAGTCATGTGACTTGTTCAGTCTTCACTGCCTCAGTCATGTGACTTGTTCAGTCTTCACTGCCTCAGTCATGTGACTTGTTCAGTCTTCACTGCCTCAGTCATGTGACTTGTTCAGTCTTCACTGCCTCAGTCATGTGACTTGTTCAGTCTTCACTGCCTCGGTCATGTGACTTGTTCAGTCTTCACCACAGAATTCTACACTTATAGAAGCGGAACTCCCTCTTCGCGATCTCGATTCGCTGTGAGGAATTGAAACTAAAACATGGCGGCCGGTTGAGGGCACCTTTGGCTGCGCCGCACAGCAAGGCTTCGCGTTGCTATGCACGCTGATGCTAGTGGTAGGGCTTGGAAGACACTTTACATCAGTATTTTAAAACTTTCTTCGAAGAGGAAATATAGTGAAATAGTCTAGTACATTTTTATTGCCTACAATATGTCATATTTGGCAATGTTACAATGTTTTTGTATTTGTATTGTTAGTTTGTTGCTTTTTTTACTGATGGGATGGGATCTAGATCTAGATCTAGATCAAGATAGATCTAGATCTCTAGATATCTAGATCTAGATCTATTATAAAGATCTTCACAATCACAATACACTTGATAATAACACTAATTATGAACATTAATTCTGTTGGCAAAATATCTAGATATAGATCTAGTCTTGATTAGTACTAGATCTACGATAAGGGGACGCTGACAGTAACATGCTCACTACAATAATATTGTCATTAAACTTAAGGCCATCCAAAGCAAGCAAAAAAGAACATTACAAGCCTTTTCTCCAATTTACTAGAAAGAGATAAATAAATTGAGCTTATATTGAGGAAATGTATTATTTCTCACTTTAAAAATTCATCTCTGTGTTTGCATCAGTAGTGTGTACATACAACAACATTAACATTAACATGCTTTGTTTAAAGCACGCGCGAGTCCGGTTGCACATAAAATACATAGGCCTATTGTACATGCTGCCAAAAACACAAAAATGCAGAAAAGGCCTCAAAATATTGGTTTACACATAAAAACCAATACTGCAAAACAAAGTAAACAAGAGTGGAACTGGCATATGTTTCCTGAATATATGTTCAAAGTCATTTTCTGTGTGTTGGGAGTGTGATTTCTAATGTATGAATGATAGGCTCATTTAGATGTGATAATGAAGAAACTTGTGTCTACAGTCACAACAGAAAGAGTGCCATGGCGAGTGATCACTGGTCAAGGATTTCAGAGCTGTGTGCATTTTGAGAAAAATGTATCCCCATACCCTGGATCACATGTCGAGGGGATGGGCTTGTCCCCCTGTAATCCCCGCACACAGTAAACAAACACATATTTTTGAACACGAATAAGAAAAAATAAGTGGTCTCTTGTTACGGATCAAATTGAAGTCCTGTTTCAATTCGATTAATTGATAAAAGTGCGTATCGCAATGCGTTGGCCACCCCCTGCCCTATAGGACTATGCTATTTAATAAATAAATTCGTCAGACCTGGAATCTTTAATGCCCGCACACAGTAAACAAACACACATTTTTGAACACGTATAAGAAAAAATAAGTTTGTCGTGTTACGGATCAAATCGAAGTCCTGTTACAATTCAATTAATTGATAAAAGCGTGTATCGCAAGGCATCGGCTAACCCAGCACTATTACGCTATTTTATAAATACATTCGTCAGATCTGGAATCTTTAATCTTTAATTTTTAATCCCCGCACACAGTAAACAAACACACATTCATGAACACGTATAAAAAAATAAGTGGTCTCTTGTTACGGATCAAATTGAAGTCTAGTTACAATTCAATAATTGATAATAGCGCGCATTGCAATGCATTTGCTAACTCAGCATTATACGCTATTTAATAATACATTCGTCAGATTTGGAATCTTAAATTATAATCATAATTATATGAGCCCAAGCGTGGGAAGTGAAAGTGAAAGGAATTGAAAATGCTTTCAAAAAAATTATGAAAGTAACATAATTAAAGTAGGACTACATGGTGCTTATAAAGGCCCAAAAAGGTGTATGGATGCGGAAATTAATGTTTCGGATGAAAATAATACGCTATCTCTACTACTGTAGCATGCGGTCAAAAATTTGATGCGCAACTTATTATCAAATATCTAGGCCACTGAACTATCAAACACCTAGGTCTAGATTCTCCTACTTTTACATAATGACTTAGATCTATAATAAATTATTCTATATCAATTCGTCTTAACCGATGAGTATTTTTTTCAAACATTTGCACACATCTATAAGTTCTATATTATTGTAGAAATTTCTTTAATAAATACAAGCCCAATATAAAAAAAAAAAATCCCAGTCAATGGTTTCTACAGATTTTTAAAAAGTTTATAGCTGGAGCTAAATCTCTTTTAAAAGCAAGTCCGTCCTTTTTTCTACTTCTGCTGGCGACATAAAGCTAATTATTGAACACAAGTTTTGAGAACATTAATTAGATCTAGATCTAGTGAAAAAATATGTTCAGTGTAAAATAAATTTCTTGTAACAAGTTTTGCTACAAAAAAATTACGTAGGCCATATGCGTAGGCAAAATGTGTGTGGGAAGCTAGAAGTGCTGTGAACAATCCCATCCGTGTTACGATTTTTTTCACAGTTCTGTAGATCTTATATTTATAAACTCTCTATGTCTGCTGTTTCTGTTGTTGCACTCAAAAACACAACAATTTAAAACCTTAATTCTAATCTCTAGTTGCATAGTGAATTCTGTAACTCAAAATTACAAACTGTGCAGTAAATGTTCCACTTTTCACTCGTTTGTAAAAGCCGCTATTGCTTTAAAAGCTATAGGGTTACTTCCGAAAACGATAAATCGTGCCCTCAAGACGCCATTGTTTTCGGTCTTCAATTCCTCACAGGTCACGTGGTACAGTTCCCGTTCTATAAGTGTAGAATTCTGTGGTCTTCACTGCCTCGGTCATGTGACTTGTTCAGTCTTCACTACCTCAGTCATGTGACTTGTTCAGTCTTCACTGCTTCAGTCATGTGACTTGTTCAGTCTTCACTACCTCAGTCATGTGACTTGTTTAGTCTTCACTACCTCAGTCATGTGACTTGTTCAGTCTTCACTACCTCAGTCATGTGACTTGTTCAGTCTTCACTGCTTCAGTCATGTGACTTGTTCAGTCTTCACTACCTCAGTCATGTGACTTGTTCAGTCTTCACTGCCTCAGTCATGTGACTTGTTCAGTCTTCACTACCTCAGTCATGTGACTTGTTTAGTCTTCACTACCTCAGTCATGTGACTTGTTCAGTCTTCACTACCTCAGTCATGTGACTTGTTTAGTCTTCACTACCTCAGTCATGTGACTTGTTCAGCCTTCACTGCCTCATCATCTGACAACGGTGCAGTTCCAGCTTCATCTAGACCTAGATACATTTTCATCACTGATATATCATTTGACCTTAGATTTCAGGCATATATATATATACTGGAAATCCTAAAGTAAGAATGGTTGTTGAAACCATGGAAAGACTTAGCAGGAGACATCTGGTTTTCATTGGGGATACATACCTTTTATCACGATATGGTTTCCTCCTGTAAGACATAATTGTACTCTAGACTTGCAGTTGGTGCCTGAAAGAAAAAAAGAAAGAAAGCAAGAAAACCTAAACCAAGCTCATCAGACACAGGGAATTATGCTTAGGTAAAGGACAGGCTCTTCATATTTGACCATGGTCTACTATGGTCTAGCCGACCAAGCTTAGCACAAGTCCTGCCTGATCGAAACGAAGCAAGTAAGAGAACTGTTGGCTTGCCGCTACCCATAGTCTGTAACTGGAAAATACCGGCGATATCGATCTATAAAGCACTTATCCCGTAAATACACAGGAATCAGCCACTAGGCCAGCGGGGCTTCCCGTCAATATACGGGAAAAGGCTCGTGTGTTCGTGTGCCGAAACTCCTGTACAATTGCGGTCCCGTTAGATCTAGCACTAAATCACACAGGCAAAGACTACTGGATATCGAAACTGATTTAAATCTTCGGTATCGATGTTTTACCGGTAGATCTAGACTACAAAATGAGCAGTAAAATTTCACTTGTATTTACCAAGGCAAGGGGGGTTGAATTTGACCATAATTTGATGTTTTTCAATTAGATCTGATCTAGATCTAGGTTTGATAGGCTATCTCTCCATAGGCCTAGGCCTAGACTATCGGCGCGAGCATCAAAAAGTAATCGTTTAGAACCAGAAGTACAGTGGAAACCTGATATAACAGGGATGGTGGGAGTAGAGAAAATGTCCTGTTATATCCGATCCCTGTTAAATCAGAAATGCAAGGAAAGTGAGCATTTGTGGACTAATCCAGCTGTACTTATTCATGGGTAGTTTCCCTTGCCACAAGTACCCACGAACAGGGGTTTTGGCACCGACTTTCTCCTTGCCTCCTTAAACCACATCAGAAGAGCTTGGTCCACAGCATCTGCATCGGGTAGTCTCATCTTCTTTCGATCCAGAGCAAACTTTCCATTGGAGTATGCTGCCACTATCTTCTCTCTATCCTTGATAATGGTGTGAATCGACCCTTGTGGAATGTCAAACTGACGACAAATCATTGCCAGTGGAGCTTGCTTTTAGTCAACAGCCTGGCCGGGTTATTTCGTATATTTTGTCAATTTAAAGGTATTTTCTCTTGTGCTTGACATCATTGGTGGCCATAATGAAAGAAGTAGGCTTAGATCTACACGTCTCTCTCTCTCTCTCTCTCTCTCTCTTACCTTTTACACATTGTTGACGAGCCTTTATCCCTGCTATAACCGGTTGCGCTCCAATGAGGCCCTGTTATTGCCGATAACTTTTAATAGAGACAAAGAGTAGAAAAAAATGGGGATTAAAAAGATCCCTGTTATTACCGGATCCCTGTTATTACCGGGCCTGTTATATATGGTTTCCACTGTAATCGTTGGTGGGGTCAAAACGAGTAACCTAAATAGGACCGCAATTGAACAGGAGTGCCCGTGTGTCATAATATTAACTATAAAGCCCAGAGGTATAATTGTCTTGATTAAATAAAATGACTGCACTACACGGTAAGTGCCGGCCCTCTGCGGAACTCCTCCCCACAATTGCTATCGGGATCGTGCAGCAAACTCGATACCATGTGATAGCAAAATTTGAATTTCTGCAAACACAATTGCGGGTGCTTAGACTCAGCCCAAAATGAGTAGAGAATAATCATAATGGCAAGTCAAAAACATTTTCTAGATAATATATAGATCTAGATCTAAATCTACATCTAGATCTCTAGTAGCCTAGATCTAGATTAGATATAATGTCCTATATTACAATAAGCAAAAGAGATAGTTGACAGACTCTATCAGGATGCGTCAAACAATGAATTACCTGATCACATGCCGTAATGTAGAAGACGCATGATATCTTTCTGATTGGCTGCTAATTTTAGTAATGTGATGTCATCATTTCCTGGGATACCCACAGACTCCGTGGAGGTACCACATGGAATGACGTGTTTTCTTTAACATTTGATCCTCGATCATCTAGATCGAGTACTTGGACATGATGGAAGGTCACCAGATCTAGAACGCTGATGCTCAGAACAGTAAGATTAAGAACGTTGATGCTCAGAACAGTAAGATTAAGAACGCTGATGCTCAGAACAGTAAGATTAAAGACGCTGATGCTTGAAATTGAAACACGGTAAACGCAAAGACAATACTCAATACTGCACAAAAATTGCCGTAAACACGCTGGAGGATTAGATCTAGATCTACCCCCCCCCCCTCCTGCATTCTTCATCACTAATTAATATACATTTTTCAAAAAAACAAATTACAAAGCAACAAATTATAATTATGGGACAAACTGTTGGTCAGTTGGGAGGAGGAGATGAGAAAAAACAACTGTCCGGGACCGGGATCGAACCGCTCATAAAATCTTTGCATGACTTCAAACGCAGACGTCCTGTATTCGGCCATCAGAACTTCCGACAGCGAGAGGTAGATTAAGCTTGATATACATAGACACCTCCATCTTTGGTGCCATGCGGTTGGCTATACTTAGATGTAGTCACGTGATTGGAGGGGTATCCTGGTCTGACGTCAAACAAGATGGGCGCCATACCTAAAAATAGTTGGCGCTTTTTACGGTAGTTCCCACCCCGCAATTTTATTCACGGGTTTGGGCCACAAGAGTAGGGGGGTTTCAGGGGGGCTTGCCCCCCTGACCTATTAAAATAGGAAGGGGGGTTTCAGGGGGGCATGCCCCCCTGAATTTTACCATAATTTAATGTTTTGCAGTTGTTAGGTTTGATATCTTAGCTCACCGCGAATCAAACGTATAGATCTAGATCTAGATCTAGATGTAGGTCAGGCTCAAATAAGGGGGTTGGGAACTACCGAAAAAGCACCAAAATAGTTTGCGTCCTTCTACGTTTAATCGCATGTATCCTGATCCAACAAACAGCTTGACAAGAGCCTTCAACAATGACCAATGCGGTGCTATCGACTTCTGCTGACTCTGACCGATCTGATCTCTCTCAACTAAAATATTTAATCATAATAATCATGGTCGTTGTATAAAATGGACACTATTTTTTTCACTCACCTCAGGTTAAAATAAAATGGGGGTATATTGTCATTTGTTTATTCCAAGATCTAGAATCTAGTATATTGAGTCCGTCTCCGTGAATCTGTTGTGGTTGTGGTTGTGGTTGGGGTAGCCTAAGCAAGAATGTTCATGTCGAGGACTCGCAGAGCTCTTCAAGAGAGAAGGAAAATGGTCGCTACTGTACACAAAAATCCAATATTTCTTGCTGCGGCACATGGCAGTTTCACCAGTAGTTTCTCAACTGTGTCCAATTTGACGTTTACAAAGTGGGCCAAGGCCTAGGGGGGACCTTGGCTGGTCGAATACCAAATCTAGATCCTAAGTGCGGTCAAAAATTTATGGCGCAACTTATCCTCAAATATCTTTTTAACTAGTAAACCAATGTCACCCATACTTTGCATAGCAGTTTGTCTTAATTTGTCTTAACTTAATCATATTTTTTCACAACAGTTGAGGCTAGATTTAAAAACTTTTCTTCATAAATTTATATAAAATACTACAAATCTCCCTCACGCACAAAATGGAATTGTCCGCAGCACTTATTCTTACTTCATACACATTTTGTGAACGCATATTATGGTCTACGTCACAGCTCACCAATGATACTTTTTATTGACAAAACTAGTTACAAGAAATTAATTTACAGTAGAGTGGACACGTTTTTGCACTAACAGTTCTCAATAATACGCGATAACAAAAAAAGGACGGACTTGCTTTTAAACCTTTTAAAATCAATAGAAACCACCCACTGGGATTTTTTATTAGTATTTATTAAGCAATTTTCTAGAATAGAGCTTTAACGGGTTTTTACAAAAATATTGATCTGTTTAGACAAATTGATACAAGTCACTGTGCAAAAGCTGGAGAGGGTTAGATCACAAAATTCTACACTTTAGGTGAACTGATCGTGTATATAGTGTAGAATTCTGTGGGTTAGATCTATGTTCGATAGTTGAGGAAATATTTGACGATAAGAATAAGGGTCACGAATTTTTGACCGCGCTTCGTTTTTGAACTCGTTTTGTGGAGTTGTCAAGGCTCTGTCCTATCGGAGATGATAGATCCGGAGGCACTGCATCCCAAATAACCTAATAGAGTTGAAAGGGGCGTTAAACCCATTGCCGTAGGCCTACATAACCTCTCACTGGTACTGGTGGAGGGAGCGTCGCTAGCCAAGCGGTTCAGCCAAAGATTGTCTACTACTAGATCTACTATAATATAATATACACAGGGACATGAGAGAAATGAAGCTCACTTGGAACGAGCTTGGAAGGATAGCTCAGGACAGAGATAAATGGAAGGAGCTTGTATGTGGCCTATACCCTGCCCAAGATTTTTTACTACTATATACACGATCAGCGGTTGAGCCAAAGATTCTCTACTATATACACAATCAGTGGTTGAGCCAAAGATTCTCTACTACTATATACACGATCAGCGGTTGAGCCAAAGATTCTCTACTATATACACAATCAGCGGTTGAGCCAAAGATTATCTACTATATACACAATCAGCGGTTGAGCCAAAGATTCTCTACTATATACACGACTAGCGGTTCAGCCATAAAAAATCTTTGGCTAAACTGATCGTGTATATAGTAGTAGAAAATCTTTGGCCGAAGTGATCGTGTATATAGTAGTAGAAAATCTTTGGCTAAACTGATCGTGTATATAGTAGTAGAAAATCTTTGGCCGAAGTGATCGTGTATATAGTAGTAGAAAATCTTTGGCTAAACTGATCGTGTATATAGTAGTAGAAAATCTTTGGCTGAACCGGTCGTGTATATAGTAGTAGAAAATCTTTGGCTGAACCGCTGGTCGTGTATATAGTAGTAGAAAATCTTTGGCTCAACCGCTGGTCGTGTATATAGTAGTAGAAAATCTTTGGCTCAACCGCTGGTCGTGTATATATACACGATCAGTTCAGCCAAAGATTCTCTACTACTTGGTCTTTGTGCTAGGATGTTGTATTTTAGAGCAAAAGTTTTACAGCACTTTCAGCACATTTAGGTGATATCAGTGCCGACGATTAGATCTAGAGGTGTTACAAGGGAGTAACAAACACAAAAAAGAAGGAGAAGATAGAGGACGATAGATGTTTGATAGGAATAAAGAAGAGCAAACCACAGCAGAGCACCCGCCAACCGCCCACACACGCAGAGTTGGGAGCCCGCCCCCCTAAGTTATGACTTGAATTCTGTTGAATGGGGTGTAACAACAGCTACAATTGATGAACAATTTCTTTCTTTAATTAAACAAAAGGGTATTCAGGTATTCGTGTGTAGTTTCCAGGCGCTTGGTGTGTTGGACACGGTGTAGATCTATGTATATCGTTCTTTAATTAGAATCACGCTTCTTGATTTCAAGATTTCGCGATTTTTAAAGATCTCCGTGAATTCAAAAAGTTGGTGAAATGTTAAGTAGAGGCAGCAATGCTAACAGTCAGTTTTCAGTTTCAATAGTTTAAAGTTTTTAAGTATTATTTTTAAAATCTATTAGATGACAAACGATCTGACATTTCCGTTTTATATTTGGTGAAAGGTGTGTACAGTGTGTATGTGTGCGAGTGTGTGTGTGTGTGTGTGTGTGCGTGTGTATGTGTGTGTGTGTGTGTGTGTGTGTGTGTGTGTGTGTGTGTGTGTGTGTGTGTGTGTGTGCGGGGGCGGGGGCGATGTGATCTCAGCTGACAGTTCTACAAAAACCACGAACGTGAGAAAGTCGGCGTATGGTCCAATTTCATTTTTGATCCGTTGTTTGTCTTCATCGTTTGTGATGTGATCTTTGTATGAGATACTGAGGATTTTTCGTAAGCATCTCACCTCCACAGCTTTAATCCCTCGTTCAAGGTCTGCATTCAAAGTCCAGGTTTCGCACGCAGACAAAAATACTGACATGACCAGGGAACGCAAGAGTCTGATCTTAGATCTGATGGTGATATTTCTGTCGTTCCAGATGGTTTTCAACTTGGTCATTGCTACGGAAGTTTTCTCTATTCTGGAGAGTATTTCTGGTTTTGATCCTTCGTCTGTCACTGTTGCACGCAGGTATTTGAAGCTGCGTAGGGTCTCAAGTCTCTGGTTGTTGACCTGGATGTCCATTGTGATGTTCTTGTTGTTTTTAGACATCAGTTTGGTCTTCTCAGCGCTGATGTCCATGCTGTAGGCTGTGGAGGTCTTTTCAAGGCGGTCTACTGAGCTGACTAATTCTTGCTGTTGTCCCGCAAGGCTGTCTATGTCGTCTGCAAAATGTAAGTTATTAATCGTTCTGCCCCCAATGCTGATTGTTCCTTCGTGATCTTTAAGTGCATCTGTCTTGATCCTCTCCCAGAAAATTCTGAAAAGAGCGACAACCCTGACGTTCTCCCAGTGTTGTTCCGAACTATTCCCCAGTGTTGTTGTTGAAAAATACTGCCCTTGTAGCTTTGAAATTGTTGTATAACTTTTCTATGGCTTTGATCAGGTGGGCGTTGAGGATAAGTTGATGGTTGCCCACAAAGCTTCCTGCCATACTCTGTCCAAAGCTTTTTTGAAGTCCACAAATACGTGGTGAAGCTCATATTGGTGTTGGAGGTACTTTTCCATGATGATTCTCAGGTATTTGTTCAGTTGTGCTGCGCCCTGTCCTGAAGCCTGCCTGTTCTTCTGCTATGATTTTCTCTGCTTGTGGCTTCAGTCTATTGAGAATGACTTCAGTTTATTGAGAATGACTTCAGTCTATTGAGAATGACTTTAAGCATAACTTTACTAGGATGGCTTATCAGGCTAATAGTACGATAGTTTTGGGGTGATAATGATGACAACAGTAGTAACAGTAATAACAATAGCATTAATAATAATAATGACAATAATAATAATAATAATAATAATAATAATAATAATAATAATAATAATAATAATAATAATAATAATAATACAGTAAGGTCCACGAATCTCGAACCCAACAATCACGAATTCTCGGGTATCGCCAACACAATGCTCGGTCCCGTTTCAGTCCCAATGTTTTCTTTGTGTTGATTTCACGGAGTTCTCGAACACGCAACACTCGAATCTCGAACAAATCCACTTCATATTCTCGACGAAAGACCCGGCTATACAGCCTTTCTGACCGCGAGTAGGTGTGGTTTTTTTGCAATTGGTACAGCCAGAACGTGGCCCTTGTCTCACCACCAGAGGCTGGAGGAAAGTGGGTTGGGGGGGGGGGGAGGAGGGAGTGATGCTGACCGCACCACATGAATATAATATGAGTTTTGTAATCAAATTTTGACCCTCTCCACACGGTACTATAGTTTTCATGTTTGGTACAATGTCCCTGTCTTTGAGTTTGTCCTTGCAGTTTTCTTTTACTCTATGATGTAAAGAATTTTGTATTTCGAGGGGTCCCAGTTTTGTATTTATTAATATTCTTTCCTATGTATTCTTCCTTTGTTTGCACGCTCGTCGGCTCTCTCATTTCCATCTATTCCGCAATGTGATGATATCCAAATAATGGTAACCCCTTTCCCGTTAGTTAGTTCGTGTAATTCAATTATGTCCTGGAGAATGTCAAATCTAGTGTGATTTCTTTAAGGTTCCACGTGATTGGGCTGCCGAGAGAGAATCAGCGAGTAGAAGAATATCCTTGTCCAACTCTGTACTGCACGCCTGTTTCATTGTTATCAGTTCAGCAGTAAGAATAGAAGTATAATCTGTTATTCATGAATACGACCGAATATTTTGTTTTTTAGCATAGAATCCTGACCCAGTACGTTCATCCTCCTTGGATCCATCAGTGAAATACTGGGTATTGTTACTGTATAAGTCATGAATATGTTAAAATGTAATATTTTGCATGAATGCCTATTTGTCTTCTCTCTTTTTCCCTTTGTTGTTTAGTGTTAGGTTCACATTAATGTCACAATATTTCCATAAGGGCAGTTTTTGTTTCAGTGTGGTGGACAGATTTGTCCAAACTTTCAAAGTTCCCATAATCGCTTGCGCGCTTTCCACAATGCCGTGCTTGGTTTTGAGATGTTTGTTTGCGATCTCGATTATTCGGTCTCTGTAGACATTCCTAGCGTTATTGTCTTTATTATAATTTATTCTATGCCAGAGTTTGACTTAATTTTCTTGTCTTCCCATCCATAGGCAAGTCTGTCCAGTATCAAATTTTTATTTTCGAATTTATCCCCCAGTTTTTTTCCTGCTGTCTGTTTCAAAATATTAAGGATGTTGATTCCTTTCTCCTATTTTTCAACTATATGCTCCTTAAAATGAAGGAATTTATCCTAGATATTTTACTAATTTTGTAGTATGGACATTTGTTCCTTTTATCAGCAGATCTGGGCATAGTTTCTGGTTAAAAAAGATTGGCTTTTATTTACATATACTTTAAATCCAAGATTGAGGACATTTCTTGGATTTTCAATAGCTTTTTAAATTAAAGTTTCATTCTTTTGGCTCCCTGTCAGGGGTATGTTTGCTTTTATCCACAATGCAGTGTCATCTGCAAATTTTCCACTGCTTATCCTGCGATATTTTTCTTCTATTGCTATTTATCAATACTTAAAAAAGTGTGGAGAGATTACTGCCCCTTGAGGTGTTCCGTTTTCCTGACTTTTTATTTCAGATAATACGCCTGCAATTTTAACCTGAAATGTCCTTTTATAAAGAAAATCCTTACACATATTACCTGTTAAGCACACACACACATACACACACGCACTCGCGCACACACACACACACACACACACACACACACACACACACACACACACACACAAACACACACACACACACACACAAACACACACACACACAAACACACACAAACACACACACACACACACACAAACACACACACACACAAACACACACAAACACACACACACACACACACACAAACACACACACACACACACACACACACACACACACACACACCCACACACACACACATATAGCGCGCGCTCAATTGTAAAATTGCAGTCTCCGATGACTCTTGGGTTTAGGAAGTCACCAAACTTTGGAGGCCACAATTTCCCCTCTAGGTCTAAGTACTCTAAGTACTCTAACACCTGGCGACACCCATGTCCTCCAATCTCAGAATTCCTTTTTGTTGTTGTTGTTGTTGTTTTTGTTGTTGTTATTGTTGTTGTTATTGTTGTTGTTGTTGTTATCATTATTACTGTTGCTGTTATTGTTATCTTATTGATGTTGTTGCTGTTACTGTTATTATTATTTTTTATTTTTTTATAAAATTATTATTATTATTATTATTATTATTATTATTATTATTATTATTATTATTATTATTGTTGTTATAATAAATGTTTGTTCTTGATTCATTGCCATAGGAGCTCTGTGGGACTTACAGTGTGGTAAGAAAGAGCTGCCGCTCTGAGGTACGCCGTAAAACTTTCTACTTTCCTGAAGGGCTGCGGGAGGTACAGGTTTACAAACTTTGCCATTTTGACAGCAGAATGTGTTTCCCTCTTCTATCCATCTTATGGCGTTGCAATGTTCACAGACGACACTGAATTCACCAGTCATGTGTCTGTAATCTTCGGTCAACTTCAGTTTCACTAAAAGACTGTGCGTTGCACGCTAGGGCCAACGTTGGTCCATTCTTTCTTGGCCTGGCACGCTCAAGATCTTCCTCCAGATTCTGGCTATTAGAACGTAATTCTGATTGATGGTCTCCTTTCTCCGTTTCCTCTCGTTTTCACCTCTGTTTCGTGGGATTAAACAAACTCTACGTTTAGGGGGCATCTCACTACATTATTAACTAATATTTCATGGGCATCTTTACTCCGAACAGATCTTGATCTAGATTGACATCTTCTTGCTAACCACTCTAAATCAGTCTTGAACTCTGTGCTCCGAATATTTTCATCTAGGATATAGAGATCTAGATCTAAAGTCTTTCTCTATTTAAAAAAACAACAACTACGCATCAAATACACGCCAAATTTTGAAAACGTTAATAGCCTACAGCGAAAAAGTCAGTACAGTGAAGTTTGACCTGCCTGAAGTACCCATTGACCCTGTAAAACACACATCCAGACAGAGTTGGATATCGAGATTCTAGATCTGGAAACAGTAGAAGCAGCTTTGTAAACACGAAGAATAATTCTTTGGCACACACACGACAAAGCACAAACCGTACTTTTGCTCTTGCTAACTACTCCAAATCAGTCTTGAATTCTGTGCTCCAAATTATACATCTAGGATATAGAGAGACCTAGAATCTAGACCTAGACTCTTGCTTTAAAAAAAAAGAAGAAAAAACCCCCACACCAAATACGCGCCATAATTTTGAAAACTTCAATAAAACGAAGAAAACCTTTTGCGGATCTGAACGGACTGTACGTGTTGAGGACATGACTATACCAAATGTGAGGCAGCGTGGTGGAATCAGGCTCTCGTCAATTTTTGGGCATGTAGAGTTATTGGTATCATCTTAAAGCTTGTTCATTTGGCTTTATTTGGATGGGGAAAAATCCATTAATCTTGGATACAAGTTGAGGTATGTGCGAATGAAGGAGGTGGGGTCACCTGTTTTCAGGGTAAAATTAGTAAGAAAATGGCCGCTAAAGATGAGTTATTTCCTTATATTAATAGTCTGTGGTAACTGAAAATTTACATTTTTTGTGCCTTTAATCAACGTTTTTCAAAAGAATCCACACAGAAATTAGTTCTTTAATGGGCATGAAAGGTGTTGAGTAAAAAAACAAAATTTTGATAAAATATAAACCTGCAGAAAAATGCCAGTTTCTTTACTTTGACTATTTTGACGAGAGCCTGATTCCACCACGCTGCCTCACAAATGTATCGAGAAAAAGTCAATACAATTAAATTGGGCCAGAAGTATTCATCGACACTGTGAAGCACTCATCCAAACAGAGTTGGATATCAAGATTCTAGTTGTGGAAATAGGCTAGTATAGAAGCAGCTGACTCTCACACACGACGAAGCACGAACCGAAACGGAAGTAGTCCCCAGTAAAATATGAAATGGCTAATGGCGGAATGAAAACATCAGAGAGCTTCGATTTACAGAAAAAAAACCCATCAAACCTGAAAAATGAAAAGGTAGTTTCCGAACTTTGAAAATCTGCCCACGTAACCCTTTGTGACAGTTCTTAACTGAATCATAGTTTCGTAGATTTTATGGGCACCTGTGTAAAAAATGTATACTGACCTCCCAAGCGGGCTTAGCTCCATTATATAAGAGTAGCTGGGCCTGCTTGCGATGAAAGGAATGATCGGTGCATTAACATCAACTGAAAGTCAGTGGCCTACTTTCTTTACACTCTACTGAAATGGGGCAATAAATCTTGAGAGATGCAAAAAATTAGAAGGTCTAGATCTATGCTCTCAAATCCAAATGCGCCTCTCGAAATATCACTTCCGGCACTTCCGCTGTGGAGGACAGCTACGCAGATTTGTTTCGTTTCTCAGTGGAACGACCACAAAGGCCAAAGAAGGACGGGAACTTTTTGTCGAATATATTTTTCTAAATTCAGGAAATGAATAAATCAAAACGTGGGGCTCCGTCATGGGGACCTATCTATCTTTTTGCAGATACTTGCCAACTTTCAACTCTGCAGCTGTCGTAGTTTGGGAAAAGTGACACATGTGTTTCCAAGTTTCCAAATTATATAATAGATGTTTAGATTGATTCTCTATTCCGCTTCCGTGGCTGTACACTCCAGTGTCGCCAGAATTTCAAAAGTGTGGACAGTGCGCACGGCTAGTGAATGCAAACCTCACTTGCTTACTATGGCGTCTTAGAGGATGTACTTTCCCTAGATTAGATCTAAACGAAACTAATGAAAGACTGAAAATTAAACAGCAGTGACTTCAGGTTCCTCAATAGAACTGTGCACCCTTTAAATTATTCTGAACCACCATTAATTTGGTAAAATTCGAACGTTAGCGGTTCCGAAGTTTTAGGTGGCCAAAGTGACGAACTTTCACAAATATAATATGTATAGATAGAGATAGAGATTATAATACAAGTGTATATATCTTGTTATTTCCTCGACAGTATCTATCTCATGTTGTTGTGGATCAAACTGTGTGGATTGACTCTTTGCCGCGGGGCAAATGTGAAATGTTTGAGAGTTGAGAAGTTCTCCGAGTCATGATGAACTTGGTGAGTGGAGCCGCTGAACTTGTGGCTCGTGGTAAATGTGTCTGGTGAGTGGAGCCGCTGAACTTGTGGCTCGTGGTAAATGTGTCTGGTGAGTGGAGCCGCTGAACTTGTGGCTCGTGGTAAATGTGTCTGG